AACAGTTCCCTGGCAAAGCTGTATAAAGCTAATAAGAAAAATTACATGCATGTCTGTTTGTAATTTTCTGTTTTGTCCCCTTACACCTGTGCTGTTCATTGAAGGCTGGATGCCTGTGGTATTCAGGCTATCCACCTGCGCCATTTACAGTGTACCAGTGTGGCTTGCAATGCCCATAAACCAATCCTGTGCCTTCACACAAGGCTTCTTGTATTACTAAGTAGTAGTATTAACTGGTAATATCAACAAGTGATAAAAGTGAACAACATCTTTAAGAATTATAAGAAATCAATATTATCAGCCATTTCAAATGCAACAATGTAGAATAAACTAATTTATAACTACATAAATGCAGTATTTACACAGCTTAGTAAGTACATTATTTAGAAGTAATCCTATGATATGTACATAGAAGTACACTGTACCTGTAAATTAATTATCATACCTAACTTCAGGGAAGGAATAGAAGGATGCTATGGATGAGTAAAAGAATATACATAGTTGCTGGATAAATTATCAAAAGCAAAAAAGTAAAGGAATACCTGTCCATTAATTGGGACATGGAAAAATAGGTTACGGGTTGCATGGGAGCAGAACAGAGGGTGGGCAAAGTTGAGATACAATAACTGAATTCTGAAATTCTGCAAAGATGTACTTCCAAAGTTACATGTAGACTGAAACAGAGCCAGTTGGGAAATGATGGAGCAAAGTGGAGGGGTCGTGGGAAGGGGGACAGAGGTGCATGGACTTCCTTGGATAACTTGGGACAATATTAATTTTCTTGCTAGTAGCCTTTTTTTGCAGAGTGTTTAGTCTTTTTGGGGGAACAATATGCTTCGTACATTTAAAGATCTGTTGACAGTCAAATCAAATCAAATCAGCACTTTGTTAGGCACATAATTTTTTAAATATGTGCAGGAGGTGAGCTAAGTGAAAAAGTCGATTTTCGAGTAATTAGTTTATTCTGTCTCTTCTCAGCTTCAGAGGAACCCGTCAAAGGTACGTTGGTTGTAAACTGTCACTCAGTTGGTGAATTACAGTTTAGGACACTACACATAAACTTCAGACTATAATCATGAAGACAAGTTCTCTGAACAGTACATTGTAGTTTCTCTTAGATGTGTAGTTTGCCATTATTAGGGAGTTTGATAAAGCCACGACAGTAGCTTCACTAAACGAATGGTTTAATGAGAATTACAGTGGCTGTGTGTGTCCAGTATAATTCTTGGCACATTTCTTTGCTGTCCTCTGCAAAATGCCAAAGTGAAATGACCAAATTCTGTGTTGTGTGGAGAGTGCAAACCATGATGGATAATTTTTAAAATATTGAAATTTTAAATTTTAGGCTGTGTCCTATATTCAGTTTTGACAAAGGGAAACAAACTAAATGACTTTTGTTGTTGTGAGATTTGTAGGTAAAATATAGTTCATTTTTTAATCAACTTTGTTCTCAGTATCGCTGTTGTAGTTACTTGAACCTCCCTGATATACCTGCTTTGGGGCAATTAGTTGATTGATCACAACATTTCATAAATGTATGAAACTTGATTTCTGTCTAGAGATTTAGCCTCTTGGTTGTTTTGTTATCAATTTCAGAAAAACCTGGCCACTGTCCATGGCGAAGGGGTGTTGTTAGACTTTGTCCTCTAAGAGGAGACACATGTACATCAGATCAAGAGTGCCCGGGTGTCAATAAGTGTTGTCATGACGGCTGCAGCCGGTCCTGTTCCAGACCAATCAGTGAGGACAAACCAGGCACTTGCCCTAACGTGTCCCAAAATAGACCTTTCTGTGACAAGAAAGGAGATATGTGTGAAAAGGACACTGACTGTCCTGGAAGTCGAAAGTGTTGCCACAATGGCTGCCAGAGGGATTGTGCTGTTCCCGACACCATGCGAAAGCTGAAACCTGGGGTTTGCCCTGAGTTGGATGCTATAAATCCAAAGCTATGTAAAAGCACAAAAAATGAATGTAAACTTGATGGTGATTGCTATGGTCATCTGAAATGCTGCTTTAATGGGTGTTTTAATGAGTGTTCCCGCACACCAACTCTCCATCCAAAACGAGGAGAGTGTCCAGTTGCCGACTATATCCCACCAGAGAATTGTTCAGATACCACTGATAAGTGCAATGATGATTCACAATGCCCGGGGAGAGACAAGTGTTGTGCAACAGGGTGTCTTCAAGAGTGTATCACTCCTCCAGCTAAAAAGAAGCCCGGCAAATGTCCTTTGAATGATTATATTCTACCTGAGCTGTGTGAGGTAACAGAAGACAAGTGCCAGGAAGATGAGGATTGCAAAGGAAGAGACAAGTGCTGTGGAACAGGCTGCAATCTGGAATGTATCACTCCTCCCATTATAGAAAAACTCGGAGTGTGTCCTATTGTAGATTATATTGACCCTGAATCATGTGAAGTGACAACTGATGAGTGCAGTGAAGATGAGGATTGTAAAGGAAAAGATAAATGTTGTGCTACAGGCTGCATAAAGGAGTGTGTAACACCCCCACTCCCTACTTCTACTACGCCTGAGTCTAAAATGGAATGTCCAGAACCATGGAAGGGGCTTAATGGAATCTGTGACCGCCGTGGTGACATGTGTGCTGATGACAAAGATTGTAATGGGTCCTCTTTGTGCTGTTTTAATGGATGCCAGAAAGACTGCATTGATCCTGTACCAACGGATAAACCAGGTGAATGTCCAAACCCATGGAAAGGACAAGATGGTATTTGTGACCGTCGAGGGGACATGTGCACAGTAGATATTGACTGCGATGCATCTGCAAAGTGCTGCTTTAATGGGTGTCAGCGTGATTGCGTAAAGCCTGGCAAGAAGTCTGAAGAAAAGCCAGGACATTGCCCCAATCCATGGAAAGAACAGCCATGTGACAGAAGAGGAAATATGTGTGAGGAAGATAGTGATTGTGATTCTGGAAGCAAGTGCTGCCACAATGGCTGTCAAAAGGATTGTGTTAAACCAGGTAAGACTTGGTGTTGGTTAGATTGTACTTACAAATATTATTGTGCAATCAATTGTGTTTTATCAGGGAATGTACGTCAGTGGGAGAACCAATCAAAATTGTGTATTACCAATGGAACACAGATGGGTGTCGACTAATAGGACTTAAAGGTTATAAAGTGATCACTGCTTTTAGTGTGTCCCGGGACACATGGTGGCTTAACAAGATGGATCACTGGTCAGGGTCATTGTGTCGCATACTCCTACCATGTTCGTCTCAACCCTGGAGTATTAATTGGTATCAGCCTTTTTAAATTAGCCAGCTAGGCTATATTAGCCCCCAGTGGAAAAATGCTGGGGAGTAGCTTGTGATAAACTAGCATCCCATCCAGGGGGAGTAGAAATACTCCTTGGATAATCATTTCTTGTTTCATAAACTAGGCCAGTTAGTCTGTTGGCAACTTAAGGTTTTCTGCTTACAGTGTTTCTATGGGATGAAGCAGGTCCATCATCGATACTCTGACACTCGATAAAAGGTAAGGTCTGCGTACGAGCAAAGTGTCCCATCAGGCCAGTGCATATCGTCAGTTTCTACCATGTGGCATGAATTGACTAGGAGTATTTCTGCCCCCTGGATAGGATGCTAGCCCATCATAGGGTTTAACCCCCAGTATTAGATTTGCTGATGTCCGTCTACATATACTTCTGGGTGGAGAGAGTCACTGTGAGAGTAGTGTCTTGCAAGAACACAACACAATGTCCCCGGCCAGGGCTCTTATCTGGACTGCTTGATGCAGAGATGAGCCTACTAACCACGAGGCCATCACACCTCCCATCGCTCCTCTGATATTGACATACCATTAATTTATTCTCTTAATTAGTGAATCTGACAAAATGCCAAGAGGAAACACAATCTGCTCTTGACAAGTTGGCTTTAGACCCACCTCTGCTTGGTGTGTTTGTTCCAAAGTGTAAACCAGATGGACAATATGAGGATCAACAGTGTCAGGAGTTGCATTGCTGGTGTGTGGACAAAAAGGGCCTGAAAATACCTGGTACAACTGTGCAAGGACCTGCAGTCTGTTTACCACGAGGTAAGAAGCAACTCAGACCACTCTCCTTTCGTAGCAGTGTGAGATCTTTGAAGTGATCATCAGGTATCTACTGTCATGCCATCCTCCATGAAAGAATCCCTTTCGTGGTCAAATCTAACCCAGAGCCTAATGCCCGAGTCATTTCTGGTAGGACTGCATTATTCATGGTGGCTGGCAAACTGGAATGGTTGCACTCAGGCTACGCTAAATAGTAGTCTGGTCAACTAGTGAATCCAATTAGCTTACATGTAAATAACACATGGGTTAGTCTATACATATGTGTAGTACTCTGGCCCATAGCCTAAATATTATTTCTGTTATACCTCTTGAATGATAATTGTTGTAGACTACAAACAGATATGGTACAGACATTAAATTCTGACTCTGAGTAGGCTCTGATTATGCCAACCAATTCAAACTATAAACTCTTAGCTCTATTTTTTCAGTCTCTGGGCCAAGTATAACAACAACAACAGTTTTATTTCTACTACTGTAAACAACTAAAAGAATTTACAAGATTGTAATTATAAATATATAAATAAACAGTACAGTACATACAGTAGTGGGACACCCAAAATAACTAAAAAGCTAAACTAGTTGGGTGACCGTAATTATATTAATTAAAAATGTAAGAGTCAGGAAAGAGGCACGACAAATACATTGGTACACATAAGTATCACAAACTTGGTACAAGATTAAATATACAAAACAAAACAAAATAAATAGATGTACACCATCAAAATATCAGTAAAGATTAATAGAGACTAATGAAATGCGAAGTTAGTTCTTGGTCCAACTCAGTTCAAGCTATTGCAGCAGTTTTTATAGAATGGAAGGCTTTCGCTCAAAAAGGCGTATATAGCATTTTGGGCCGATTTTTATTTTTTGCAGGATCAAGCTAATTTTTGGCAGACTGACTTGTTTAGACATGAAAAGCATCGTTGCATAATTGTTTTTGTTGATCTGCGCTTCGTTTTCGAGAAATAACGTATGCAAAAAAACTCAGTTTTCCAAGGGTATCTTTTGGAGATCTTTTGTTGAGCGAAAAACAAAAGAAACCTTTGTTTTGCTAAACGATGAAGTCACCAAAGTGTGGTATTTGTGGCTAGTTTTATTATTCATATAATTACACAATTCTTTTACTGTTACTTTGTTAGTGCAAGGGAATAAGGCGCTGAACGGGTCGGATTCGAGTTTGTTTTGTCGTGACACCAGTTCAGTACGAGGTCGGTTGATTTTTTTTCAGGTCTATTTCTCTACTTCTTTCAAAAATCAAATCATCTATTCAAAAAAAAAAAACTGTGCTGTGGAAGCTGCTAAAAGTAGCCGTTTAAGTTTGCGCTGTGTCAAAATTCACCTTGGAAGGATTTGCTCCAAAAGATGCTGCTCTGAAAACTGAGTTTTTTTGCATATGTTATGTCTCAAAAATGAAGCGCAAATCAACAAAACAATTATGCAATGATGCTTTTCATGTCAAAACAAGTCAGTCTGCCAAAAATTAGCTCGATCCTGCAAAAAATAAAAATCAGCCCAAAATGCTGTATATGCCCTTTTTGCATGAAAGCCTAATAAGCACTCTGACCAAGCTTGCTCTAACAGTAAAGTGAAACTCTGACAGTGATACTGTTACTGAAAATGAGTTTTTTATATATAGTTTTGTTGGACAAAAAGTTAGACTTAAGGACGGTGCCTACTTTTGTTTGTGCTTGTGCAGATGCACTCTGCCCATCTCTTGAGGCATGGTTTACAGGCCGTGCATGTTAGGGTTACAGTTATGCTGTCAAGTGCACAACTGTGTGAAGAATGAAAGCAACCTTTTCCTACTTTGATCAAATTAAGTTTGACGAACCTGTACAAAAACTAGGAACACCAGAAAATAGCAGCATATTGCTGAACTGACAACAGACCATTATGTAACCACAATAATCCTTGCTGAGATCTTTTTCTCATACAGTTGGACTCGGTTATTTCGAATTCCCTGTTATGTTGAACTCAAGACCAGTTTCCCCAGAGAGTTTGAAATAGTGAGGTTCGACTGTAATTATTTCTAATTTGGGGCAAATTCATTTCTTTTTAATAGTCACCATCCTTAATGTGTAATTATGTCTCATTAAAAAAATTAATGTTCCCTAATGATTTTTTCTATACATGTAAGCACTGCCCCTGAATGAGCACTTAAAAGTGAAAAGTCAGTCTAACATGCCTCAGGTCACTTTGTATGTGTCAAAATTAACTATCAGTAGACCACTTTCGATATATTAACATTCAGCATGGCAGCGAGACCAAGAGGATACAAACGAAGGAAGTTGAATGACCATGTTTATTCATTTCTTTTGTTTTTGTCCTCTAGGCCTCAGTGTCACGCTGAATTTTAATATATTGAAAGTGGCCTCTTGCACAGACATTAATTTCGTTTGGAATCAAATAACAATAAATACAAAATTTTGAACACTCAATAATATTACTGACAAGACAAATTACTTTCAGTACAGTAGTTTTAATTTAAGTCCAACTAGTTTTCAGGACCGACTGATTGTTATTATTGTCATAAATTAGCAAAACCAGGCACATGTCCCAGACCCTGGAAAGGCTATGGAGGGATCTGTGATTTCCGTGGCGACATGTGTCTTCATGATTCAGATTGTGGTGGAGATAACCGGTGTTGCTTCAACGGATGTCAAAATGACTGTGTGCCTGCAGGTATTAAAAGATTGAAATGATTGATTAATTAGGAAACTTTTTTTTTCTTTTTCTTTAATTAGGAAACTATTTAATAAATCCCAAAATAATACTTAGCAAATTATATGAAAATGGTCTATTTGAAGAAAAACAATTATAATTTAGAACATGAAGAAAATAGCTGTTCAAGGTTGCTTTTTGGGAAAGTTGGAGTTTCCCCTTGCCATTTGTATGCAGGCACGACTTCCTTTGGTATCAATGGTAATTTTCAAGTCAGTTCATAAGTTATAATCTTTGCATACTGGCATGCATGTGCGGCAACTGATCACCTCGCCACCAGGAAGTCTCACCACCAACGAACTCGCCACCAAGTGAAGTCTCCTTGCCACCAAATTACTAATGATCTAATAACACTAAAATGAAATTTGTTCTACTTTGTTTAGTTGTATAACTCACACAGCTCGTGTAAGGTTGAAGTTGTTTGATCATGTAGCCAAAGCCTTTAATGAAACACTTACATAAACTTAACTGCAAACACAACAGCAATGCAACTGAGCAATAACAAGACAGTCAGCTCTCAAAGAAATATACATGTAGTTGAATTCTAGAAAGCTAAAATGGTTTCTCATTTGACAAAGGAACAGATATCGTATCACGTCACCAACAACATGTGGTGGTGAGGTGTCCGGATACCGCATGTGCAAGTTAGGAAAAATCTTGGGTATGAATAATGCAATGTACATATACAGGGACGAACACAGGTTTGGCGGGATGCGGGATGAGAGTAAAAGTGGAAGCAGAATGTGGGATGCAAATTCTTTGGCAGTTGCAGGATTTTAAAATTGACGGTGGGATGCAGGTTGTAAGACAGACAATCACAGATTACAGATTCCCAGTGGGGTGGGATGGGGGGATTTAGCCAGAAATTAAGTGGCAGGATGCAGGATTGAAAAAGTCTAATGTTGGAGCCTCCTTGTAGGTTCCATAAAAGAGAACTACCTAGTATACTTGCCAATCAGCTTGCCTTAGTGACAGATGTCCACCAGCTGTTTGTTATCAGTTTATGTAGGTGTGTGTGCTTTCATAGTACCATGATGGGTGTTCGTAACTTATGAACTAATGTGACTTGAAAACTACCATTAATACCAACAATTTTCTGTATGCATTTACTACAATTGTGACTTACATTTTCAATGAATTTGCTGTTTTTCAGTTGGTATCAAGCTTTGTGCAAAACACAAGAAGGCCGAGATTGCCAGAAACCAAGGGGGTCCACCTATAGTGGGTGCATTTTTGCCCTCTTGTAAATTGAACGGCGACTATGAAGAGGTCCAGTGTCATGGTTCAACTGGCTATTGTTGGTGTGTTGATAAACTTGGCAATGAATTGCAGGGGACACGTACCAGAGGGGAACCAAACTGTACTCTGTCAGGTATGATATTTGTCAACAGCAGTGGCTGGGAATGTCCAGGAAAAGGCGTATTACTACATGTCAAGATGTAAAGATATGAATGGTTGCTGTGCAGTAATGTACACAACTTAAGCAGTTGTGAAACTAATGCCTGAAAAAAATTCATGTACATCATCTTTCTCTACATTCCAAAGTAATTAAGTTATATTTTATGTGATTTTTCTGTTTCATTCTTCACCATCTACTGTATAATAATTATTATGAACTCGCAACATGACCAGCTCCCAGTTAGCTTGATAGCTCAGTTGTTAGCTAGAGCACTGCAACAGTATTGCAGAGATCATGGGTTCGAATCCTGTTCAAGTCTTAATTTTTTTTGAGTTTTATCTACACAACTGCTTTTAAAGTTGTGTACATAACTTAGATAATCAGTCATGTATTTGCAACTGAGACTGTTAAATGCTCACATTGAAGCTGCTGTTTGTTAGAACTGCCAAGGGTGGACACAATGACTTGTAGCTTCACAATCAAGGGGCAGATACTCCTTAATCATTTGCATACATCATCATTCTACTAGCTTAGAGGATTTCCCTTATTGTTCAATTATTCCTTAACTCTTGACGTGGGACATACATTGGCATTGGGATTCTGGATAGAGCATTCAGGATTTGAGTGAAGGGTGCTGTGTAAATGATCTGTTCCTCGGTAGGACACTTAACAGTGTACTCTAAAGTCGTTTAACCTGGTTTAGAATCCTGACAAAAAGCTAGACATGGGAAGAGAGGAAGGAAAGGAGGATGTTAAAGCTGTAATGGTCTTTTACCCCTCCAGATGTAGTCACAGCATATTGAGTCACCTCATGTTATGGAACCTGGGATAAGCTGCTGTGATTTGGCCCAAATTTGGAGTTTTTTTATAAAGAGTAGACTACACAGATCAAGATTGATATATCACTTTACTTTTACTTTTTATCTTCAGGGAATGGAGCAGGGGCTGGGAAGGAGGGTATCTGCCCCAAACCCTGGAAGGGACTTACTGGTTTCTGTGACAAAATGGGTGATCAATGTGGAATGGACTTTCACTGTTCAAATGAAAATGAGAAATGCTGCTTCAGCGGCTGCCAACGAATGTGTGTGAATACCACAGAGGCTCACCAGAAAGCTGAAACAAAGCCCGGACAGTGCCCAAAACCATGGCTGGGTGAAGAAGGTCTGTGCAATCGCCGTGGGGATATGTGCCAGAGAGATGTTGATTGCAAGGGAAGTCAAATTTGTTGTTTCAATGGCTGCCAAAAGGACTGTGTCAACCCTGGTTAGTTTGCTTTTGACCATTGTTTTAGCACTTTTGGTGACTGATTATTAAACCTCTAAGACGAAATATTTTTTTAATTGCTGAACTGGATGTTTGACATGAAATAATGTTGTGAGTTTTAGCTATTAAACAATAATTTATATTGAAAAAGACATTTATAAGGCATTTTTATGACATACTCTGCAGCAAGCAGTAAATTTAATTAAAACCTACATAATGCTCAAAAATTTTGATATCTATTGAAATAATTTGTACCTGTTTCTTTCTGTTAGGGTTGTCTACTTGCCAGCAAAGATATGAGGAGTCATTTCTTTTCCCTGCCTTGGGTCGGTTTGTTCCAGCATGCAAGAAAGATGGTCAGTTCAAAGAGACTCAGTGTCATCCATCGACAGGTCACTGTTGGTGTGTTGACAGTTACGGTGTAGAGCAGCTTGGAACACGCACAAGAGGAAGACCTAACTGTACTGCCCCAGGTAAGTAAGGAACTAACTGTTTTTGGACAAGGATGTTTAAGAGAAAATTTTAGGTCTCCATGTTTCCAGACTCCAGATGTCAACATCTGGCTTAATTTGGTGCTGATTTGCCAGAGATCGAAAGCCATTGATAATTAATTACTGGATAGCAGAATGCAGTTCTGTACATGTGTGAAATAGTGAAATCAACTCGAACATAGGGGTAAGAACATCAGTTACTCTAAATCAATCACCTCTGGGCCTCTGGACTTGTAGAAATACAGGTAAGAGTTCAAATACTTTGTTCATGACAGATCCATGTCTTTCCACCGAGTGCCCGCACTATGGACAGTGTGTTCCCAGCCAGGACCGCAAGTCAGTGGAATGCAAATGTAACATAGCATGCTTCAAGATTTATGATCCAGTTTGTGGAACTGATGGGAAAACGTACGCAAATAAGTGCGTAATGAAATCAGAAGCTTGTGTGCAAAAGAAGGATGTTAAAGTGGATTATAAGGGTGAATGTGAAGAAGGTGAGTACCTTAAGTATTCACATTTTTAATATGATTAACTTCTCTTCAGGCCAGTCCCCACTGGAAAGAAGGAGCTCACATACCCACCTGGTTGAAGGGTTAATAGACTTCTTAAAACCATGAGATATATATGTAATCTATTCCTAGTGAGATTAGTCTAAGTTATGAATTTAACAAACAAACTTGCCATCTTGCAGTTGATCCTTGTGCAACAGTGAACTGTGGTTTCTATGGTAAATGTGATGTTATCAATGGCAGCGTCACATGTGTTTGTCCAGGATCAGGTAGCCGGCCAAGTTGTGGCAATGAAAAGGAACCCGTGTGTGGTTCTGATGGAGAGATTTATGACAGCATCTGCCTCTTAATGAATGCATCCTGCCAACAAGAGACGATGATCCTCCCAGCCTTGCCTGAGATGTGTGGTAAGAAAGTGTATTGAGCTTGTTGACTGAGTAGGAGGGTTGAATATGAAAATTTTTGATTCACTTAAAGTCCAAGATTATGCACCCTGGTCAGAGGCAAATCTTTTTTCACCTTTGCGGAACTCTGTGTGGTAAGAATTTAGGAGAATGTTTTGTGAATGATCTTGGTCATATTGTATATCAAATTGACAGACGTTGTTTCACGTCATTTCCAAGCATTGAGAAGAGAGCTGAAAATATGATGCACAGCATTCCATTTGCTGAAACAAAGCAAAAAGAAAAACAAAAATGAAAAACAAAAAGAGAAGAGAAGAGTCCCAATAGGAAGATAAGAAAATAGAGGAAAACAAAAGACTGACATTCTGTTGAATTATTATGTCATCTACTTTGGAGGAAAATATTCTTAAACAGGGCGAGATTTTCCTGAACACTGATTTCATAAATCCAGTCACCTGCATTTACATTTAATTTTGAGTTAATTTCTGTTATTATGTTTTAAGATGTGGAAGAAAACATCAACCCTTGCGCCAACATCACCTGTAGTCACCCATTACAGATCTGCACCACGCTAAGTAATGGCAAACCCGAATGCAGTTGTATTAATAAGAAATGCACCACAATCTATAAACCTGTGTGTGGAACAGATGGAGAGACTTACCATAATGATTGTATGATGGATGTACTATCATGCAAGGCAAACAAGATTGTCTCTGTGGACCATTATGGAAAGTGTGAAAAGGACCTTGCAAGCAGTAAGTATCAAGTTGACCTTTAAAGTCAATAAATGGTTCAGAGATGTTTTTTCATACATACTTTAATTTAAAGTTGTGTTTGCAGGGTGAGATGAAATTCAGAAACTCCGCTTGCCCTTTGGGCAAGCTGTAATTTGATCTTACCAGCCCAACTCTCTGAGGAGCTAGCCCGAAATTATTTTATTAATAAGGATAATTAAGTCAATTAATATGCAAAAATAATTAGCTCTTATTAACCGAGCAGGAGGTCTGTNAAGGTGTGGTTCTAGAAAATGTCCATACACCTATGGAGGGTTCATTTCCAGTTTGAGTTTGAACTAAGAAATGACTTAGAAGCGCTTCACTCCCAAATGGCATAGCAGCTGACTTTTTCTTCATTCAAAGAAGTTTTCAGATGAGAATCTAAGAAAGTACTGAAAATTTAAGCTCTTTTAAAAAACCCAGTCAAAGTTTAATTTATGCATAGTCAAAACAAGATATTGAATTACTTTACACATGTAGTTATAGTGGGAAAGTAAAGCCGTTATGTAACATGTTGTTTAAAAAAGCTGTTTGCCAAATATCACTGAAATTTTTTTTCAGGAAAGGAATAGGTCAATAAGTGAAGTCATGCACTTTGTCGTATTTTGTAGTTTGTAAATGATAGTAAATTCATTTTATGCCTTGATGTTTTTAATTTGTCACCTGTTTCATGTAAGTGAAACACAATTTGTTCAGTCGTACTGTAAATAACCAAATGAAATCTTGGCTACCGCTCCAGCGCTCCTTGCCATTCACAGTTACATATGCTTCAAGACAAATGCCTACTTAAGCAAACTATTAACTACATGGATAATGATGAAAATATGTGATAACCTTGTTTTACAGAAAGTTTTTGTCTTGCACGGCCGCTGCACTGTCAGGACATGCGATCGAGAAAAAAATTGACTTCAGTCGCTTAAATTTTACATTTTACTCTATCTTAGAAAAAAAACCATTTCTATTGTTTCACTTTCTCTCACAAACTGTCTGTTAAACACAACGTGTGAAGTTTGCCACTAGGAAAAAAGAAAACAAAAAAACAAAACAAGCAACAGTGTTTCACTCATGTCCACTTCATGCTTGCCTGTCAGACAACCTGTGATAAGACAGCGCTAGCCTGATCGATCGTTTCACTAGTCCCAGACTATCAGACAGCCTTTTTGTCCTACCCTGGTTTGGTTAGAGTTGTAAACCTTGGTTTGTTTCACTTGGACCCAATTTCTTTTTCACTGGGGCTACAATATACATGTATTTGCTGGCAAATTTTAATTATCATGTAATTGTGCAATATCATTTACTTATTTTTGGTTTTTGATCTTCACTTTTTAACAAAAATCCCAGGAGCCCCGTGTGCCAAGGTCAACTGCAGTCACCCATTGGCCAGTTGTCAAGTCGTGAATGAGACTGCGACCTGTGTCTGTCCTGAGATTGTGACATTGGAGTACTTCCCTGTTTGTGGTTCTGATGGAGTGACATACCCTAATCCAGGTTCACTGGGTATTGCTAGTTGTAACAGTGGAGGAGCTATTGACAAAGTCAAGGATGGAAAGTGTAAGTGCGACCCTAAACCAGACTGCCAATTGCGTTTGTGATCTTAATTCTCCTTACAATACCAATGGATTGTGAGGAGAATCAAGAAGGCTATCACCCAACAATGTTGCTGTGATACATCACCAAAGTCTAACATTGAAATAAATATTGGGAAATAGGAAAGGAGATTTGTATATTTTTGTTGGGGCTGAATCTGTAGTGTACATAACCCCATCTGAATTTTTTAATTTCATGAAGATTCGTTTATATATTATATATTTTCCACAAGCACCTTTTAGACATGTGCTTTTCTCATACCGAGACAAATCAGGAAGTTTTAAGATATTAAAGGGGTTGAAGTCTGGCCGTTCGCATACCTAGTTGTAAAAAAAAACCATCAAAGTGTATATGGAAGTTTCTGTTCATGCTGGTTTGGCCATTAATTGCCATGACTGATAGGGTTCCAGGTTCGCTTTTGAACATCTAAAAAGTAAAAAGTGCAGTAGATGCTGCTGTCATGCAGTTTCTTTGTGAGGGAACTTCTTGTTTAAGGCTTAAAAGGACGTCCACATTTCATGGAGACTTAAATGAAGGCAATGTGTTTTTGGTCATTTAAGGTTCTGAGTTGAAACATCCTTGTGAAATCAACCTTTGTAGCCACAAGCTTCACAGCTGTGAGGTTCAGAATGGCACAGCTGTTTGTGTCTGTAAGACAGGGTGCACACTGGAGTATGCACCTGTTTGTGCCTCTGACAACAAGACATACCCCAACAAGTGTGCTATGGAGGTGGCAGCATGCGAGAGCGATCAACATCTTAGAGTTGTGAGGCTTGGAAAGTGTGGTAAGTTGATTTATTACCCTGACCAAGTCATCTGAGAGGGCAAATAAGTAAAATCAACCAATCAAATTGATTTAATCATCATCAAGTCTCTGCCTGTCAGTAGGCCAGTGTATTGCCAGTGTAATGTTTTTGATCTATTGGACCTGGTGAAGTTACTCGTGACAGCTCTTTTTCCGTTGTAAGGTTACAGTTAAGGTTGTGTAATAAATCAGCCTTATTAATCAAGTATGCTTGGGAATTATGGCCCGCGTTTTTTTTTTTCTGTCTAGTCTTAAAGTATGGCCTTATGCTTGGTTAGCCAGAGCCATGAATATGTCCATGAATATTAGTTATGAAAACAGACCTGCCAGTAATGAATGCACGTTATGTGTCCTACATGCAGATGGTCTTGTTCCCAGTAAACCCCATATCTGCCCTCGACCCTGGAAAGGACTGGATGGAATTTGTGATCGAAGGGGAGACATGTGCCAGAATAATGCTGACTGTGGAGAGGATGGAGAAAAGTGCTGCTTTAATGGCTGTCAGAAAGATTGTGTGAAATTTGGTAAGTTTCTAGATGCCTCTTGTTTTACTGTTCAAATACTGGTAAACTGCATTATAAATAAAATAAATAAAAAAAAATAAATGAATAATATGTTTGACGACTTGCCACTGGTTTAATTATTCAGATACTGTTAAACTGCATTGTAAGAAAATCAATTTAAAAAAATAACTAACTAACTAAATAATAAATAAATAAATAAATAGATAAATAAATAAATAGATAGATATGTTTTGCAACTTGGAAATAGAAATGTTTTAACAACTAGGTTGTTACCGCGATTTCAGAATAAGAAAAATGAAACAGCAGGGGCTTTATTAATGTTTTCAGCAGGAGGGAAACTGGTTTTTACAGGCGGGCAAAATGTTTTGAACTGAACTTCTTTACAAGTAATACTTTCCCTAAATGGTCAGATCAGGCAGGTAAAATCATCTTCACAGCTGGTCAATTTGCCGTATGCCCAACCCTTACATGAAACCCCTGACAACGGTGTTAATCATGAACAGTTCTCTCAAGTTCTCAGAAGAGATTTCATGTGGAGCTTATCAGTAGTTTTCTGGCCAAGCTCTACTTTTTTTGTATTATCTGTTTTGTTTTTCAGGTGACTTACAGTGCCCAGAAAAGTGTCATCTTAATGCTCAGTGCATAGAACTTGTGGTAGGAGGCCGAAAATGTGTTTGCAATCCAGGATTTGAGGGGGATGGAATAGAATGTGCAGGTAAAATGCCGTTTCTATACATGTAGGTTTACTTTTTATCCCGGTCTAATGAAGGGCTCAGTAAATGAGGAGGGTCTTCAAGGACAGAAGATCAAGTTGCGTGTGATGGAAGTTGCACCGTTTTTTAGCCTGCGAGCAGGCTCACCTTTGAGTCACACACGCGAGCGGCGAAGAACAAAGCGATCCGGCGGGAAGGAGTCTGGTGAAGAGGCGCCAAGAAATGCTGCCTTCGCTTGTGATCTGACGTGAGCCTGCTCGCAGGCTACACCGTTTTGTAAAAACATCCCTATACAGCTGTAACAGTGATTTTAAAAACATGTTTGATTGTCGCAGTTATATACACAACTAAAGCAGTTGTGAGATTGTAGCGTGAAAAAAATTCAGGCTTGAACGGGATTTGAACCCATGACCTCTGCGATACCGGTGCGGTGCTCTACCAACTAAGCTATCAAGCCAACTGGAAGCTGGTGTTGTTGTGAGCTCGTAATTTACCCATAGATGGTGAAGAATACAAGTGAATATAGGAAAGATCATATATTTGAACTGTGGACTGAGAAAGATGATGATCATTGCAGTCATTAGTTCGCAAAGATCACATTTGGTTTTGAGGCTTTAATTTAACAGCTGCTATAGTTGTGCATATGACTCCATGGCCTCTTCCAGACGTTCAGTTAGTTGGGGCGCAGCGCTAAAAATGGCGCGCGAAAAAATAAAAAAAAAAGCGCGGCGAGAGGAAGTTCCTTCGCTTCCTCTTGCCGCGCCTCTCCTTATTTTTTCGCTTGTCATTTTTTGCGCTGCGCCCCAACTAACTGAACCCCTGGAAGAGACTATGCAGTCATATGCACAACTATAGCAGCTGTTAAATTAAAGCCTGAAAACAAAATGTGATTTTTCATATACTCACTTGCACAGTGATTGTAAGTTACCCTCTTGTGGGAAATTTTTGGTTCAACTGTGCAATTTGTGACAAGGATGTGTGTAGTAGGAAGGGCAGTGTGGCGATGAATGTTTGACGCTTGTGTATGATGTTTTGCAGCTGATCCGTGTAGTGTGAAAAAGTGCGAGCATTACGCTACCTGTCAGGAGGAGAATGGCATGGGCAAGTGTGTCTGTCCACAAGTTTGTCCCCGTATTCTTGCTCCTGTTTGTGGATCTGATGGAAAAGTTTATGACAACGCGTGCCTTATGAGAGTTGCATCATGTTCTCAACAGAAAAAGATCACACTGGCCAGTAAAGACACATGCAGTAAGTTGTATTTGTTTGTAAACAGGGCATTCTGATTGCTTTTGTAGCAAAATGCACGGTCTACCTTTTGTTTGGCTTATACAGTGCCCAACCTCAGTCGGATAGGTTTGGTTTCGTCAGCATGAAATGATTAGCTAGGAATATTGCGACACTGGACGTCAAAAGTAGTTGAGACGCTTTTCAGTATTTAACTTACATTATTTGCATCTAGCGTTTATTCTGTGATACTCCCCCCACCCCTCAAATCAGTAGGGAGCTTAAGCAACGACGACGGCGACGCCGAGGACGATCCCCAGTAAAAAGTGAATTTGTATTTTATCAAAGAAATTTGCAGTTGTCTACATCTGTTAAGTACGCCAATGCCTCTAAAAACGTGCTCTAGCTAAATACACAGTGACAGCGTTTAGTTTCAAATGGAAACACGAAAAATTAGCCGCTGTCGTTGGCTTTCCACAGACGACGCAGAACTTGGCCATTTATTGTTCTTGTTTTGCAGAGGACGGCAAAGAAATGTACAAAATCTTGTAACGCACGTGCACAGCTATTGTTTTGCTCATTAAACCTTTTGTTTGGTGACGTTCTCGTTGCCGTCGTCGTCGTGGTTTGCTTAAGCTCCCTATAATGTTGTGTAGGTGCTGTGATCTGTGCAGTCTTAGAAATAGAAAAATCAACAGTCGGAAGGGAATGGGGATGAAATGTTTCCAAGACGCTCAATAGTCGAATCTCACTGCGAAGTGTCTCGACACTTTGTCGCTCACTGTAGTTCCACCCTCAGTCGTGCTTAAATTAAGGTTGTCTGTCTGTCTGTCTGTCTGTCTGAACAGAGTCTACTTACGGAAGTAATCTAAACAACTACTATATTCCACATTAAATCGTTTTTACAGTAAAGATGAGAAAACAATTGAAAGCATTTCTTGGTAATGTAACACAGGTACATGTACCGGGCAGTGTGATGTGCATTGTAGGTCGTAACCCTGTTCATTGTTTCCTTCACAGAACCAGACCCTTGTGCAAAATCCAAGTGCAGTCACCCACAACACCGCTGCATCAAAGTATTGCATGGTGCTACATGCATGTGTCTGCCGTCTGTATGCACACGCGAGTACCGTCCTGTCTGTGGCTCGGATGGAAACACTTATCCCAATGAGTGTGCCTTAAACGCGACCGCATGTGAAAGAAGTCAGATTATAACTGTGTCTAGTCAAGGAGAGTGCAAGCAGAACAACGAAAGTGAGTCCGGCACCGTTTTCTTTCGGTTTTGTGTTGTGTTGTTATTGTGAAGAGGATTTGTTTGGCTATAACTTAGCTAGTCTCCACTCTGAATACCAGCTGTTGATGGTAACGGAAGTCCTGAGTGTGACCCTAACTTCTCAGCCAGCCACGCTTCTGGAACTTAACAGTCAAGTGGTTTACGTCTTGCTAGTTGGGTTCGCAACGATGTTGCATGTCCATTCATGTACAAGATTTGTTTCAGTACTTTTTAACATTGCCCCAGTGAAGTCCCATGGTCAATAGGCCATTTCCGAGTTACCTTGTGCCTCTGTTTCAAAACGAGTCCTCGCAAAACCTTTCATTTGAAAATGAGTTTGATTAATATGAAAATGAATCTGCAGGCGGAACACATTTTCATATGAATGGTTACGCACAAAGACTCGAAAATTACAAAATTTGTCTATTTTCATCTTTTAGTTCCTTTAGTATGTGCATTAATAATCACAGCGCCCTGGCTAATCAGCTTTTATCTATATGCTGATGTGTTTTAAAAGTTATCACGCCTTTTTTCACAGATCCTTGTGCTGAACCTGGGCTGTGTACACATCCATACCATCAGTGTAAAGTGGTTGGTGGCAAGGCACTGTGTGTGTGCCCCATGGTGATACCAGCAAACTTGGATCCAGTGTGTGGCTCTGATGGTCAAACATACCCCAACCCAAGTGCGCTTGAAAGCATGAGCTGTTTGGCAAATAGAATTGTCGAGGAAGAATACCGTGGCGAATGCGTAGGTGTGTATCTCTGTCAGAATCAGTTGAGAACAAGGGTCAGCAAGACTTGATTTCCATTTGTTTGCACTGGTAGCTTAAATTATCATGAGTGCCAGTGGGAATATACACTTATTTGAATAGAGGGAAGTGCCACTCGATAATGTTTTTACACTATATTTCTTGTTTGACTTATGCAACGATGAGTGTGGTCTTGAAACACATTGCAACTATGGACTTTGAACCACACCTAGGCAAGAATGCATCAACCGTACAGAGCCAACTCCAAATAAGAAATAATACATGTCATGATGTGTCTCATCTCGTATATGTCTGATATTCATAATCACAAGCTGATCTGAAGGAAAGTGGATCCCTAGTAATTAAAAATCATGGCATTTTGAGTTGTTTTGGCCACGTACAAAATTAACTTTAAATTGAAGGAAAGTTAAAAAAAAAATAGTTTACTAGGATAGCAAAACACTAAAGAGGTAATAATACACCGTGAAGGAACAAGGATGGAAAAGATTGACCCGGATTACAAACGACGAACTCGAAAAATGTAGGCTAAGCTTTTCAAGATGCGCATACTGTGACAAAGCTTCTTCAAGAAATATCCAAGATTGCTTCTGTGCGCATCGCTTTGTTTGTCTTTTTTTGGCTTTGTCTAAAAAAGACCAGTTGTATTAAAGGTGTTTGAAAGCTTTATGTGTTTCATGTGTGTTTAGTTCCCACAGATCCTTGTGACATTTCACTGTGCAGCCATCCTAAGCACTTGTGTAGGGTAGTAGACGGTATGGCAACCTGTGTTTGCCAACAGGTCTGCCCACTAATCCTGCTACCAGTCTGTGGATCTGACGGCCAGAGCTACCCAAATAGCTGCAGCTTGGAAGTTGAAGCTTGTATGACTGGAAAAGATTTGACAGTTGTATCCATGGGAGAGTGTGGTGATTATTTCTTTTGTTATTGATTTATTCTTAATCTGTAATATGATTTGTTGCCGTTGACTAGAACACTCGATAATAGCCTCTTTTGGAAATATTAATATGGGCTATATTTTTATCTGTTCGTGTAAGGGGGCTAAGTCGTGCAATTTTAGGAGAATTTTACACTTACCAACTGGCTATAGAATGTATTGTCGAAATATCACAGTAACAGATTACTTTAACTTCCTCCCCCAAAGTCTCTTCTCCGTGAGGAATGTAGAGAGCGGTGGAAATCAAGCCTATGAGGACTTTTAACATTGTCTAATGTGTTTTATAACAGACCAATGTGCAAAAGTAGTGTGCCCTGATCCCAGGCAGCACTGTAGAGTTGTTGAAGGTGCACCAACCTGCGAGTGCAGTGAAATCTGTACTGCCGACTGGAATCCAGTGTGTGGGTCAGATGGTACGACGTACCCCAATGAATGCAGCTTAGAAGTGGAAGCATGCAAAACAGGAAAGAAACTGTCAGTCGTTAAACAAGGACAATGTGGTATGGATCATCAGAAGTAAAATGTTCTTAATTTGTATTAAAAAAGGAAAATATTGCGAAAGAGATTTGTGAAATCCGTGAAGGAATATATGAATATATATCAATATGAAAATTCGTGTGAATGACATGTGAATAAGCAAAGAAAACGTACAACAACAGCAAGTTTATGAAAAAGCTATTGAAAAGCATTTGAAAAAAAGAAGGAAGCACACGTGAAAAACCAGTGATCAAAAGGTGACAAAACAGCAAACAACATGTGTAAAACCAGTGTTCAACATGTCAGAAAACAATGTACAACTTGTGAAAAACCAGTGACCATGTGAATGTGTGTTTCCAAAGTTGTTTGCCAAGTCAACTGATTTCTCTTGACTTTACTTGTAGTTAAAAAGAAGGAATGCCCATTTTTAAACCCAACTCCATCCTGTAATGTAACATTGAATGGAACTTGCTTCACTGGAGATGTAACATGTCCGCCAGGCTTGATGTGCTGCCTTGACAATACCTGCGAAGCCAAGTGTACACTGCCAGCACTTGACGATGGTAAGAATCTTTTAGCGCCGTTATTTCTACGTGGTCTTTGGGGGTGGAACTGTCCCGCGATAGTGTCTTTGTTTGGTTAGGGTTAGTCTAGTTAGTCCTGTCAGTTGGTTCGAGTCTGGCTGGGAGCCTGTCATTTGGTTCTAGAGTGTCTCTCGGCTGCGGATTCTGAGTAATGGTAGATTGTATGAGAAACCTAAATATGTTATTATTGGATTAATGCGCCTCTTCCAGAGAGAGTGGTGATTTTCCAAGCCTGGTCACTGTAAAGAAACCAGAGACGATTCTAAATTTCACGTCACTGTGCTCCAGTGTAAAGTGTTAACCATTAGATTCAGTCCAAATCCTGTGTGTGATTTTTATACTGTGAGATATGTGGTTCTATCTTTCATGGTAAGTTGATGAAAACCAAGGGTACAAACATTCAAATTGAAGTTATCAAACAGCACAGCTGTGTGGTACTATTTGTTTGTTTGTTTTTTTTTTCCAATATTCTGCAAGGTAACTTAAGGTTGGTGGTTTCCAATTTTGTAAGTCGGTTTGGGCTAGTAACATTAGGAACAGTACCCTGGGTACCTGAGCTTTTTCTTACGCGCGGCGGACGGAAATAACCGACACCGGAAACCACGCAAGAAAAACCTCTGGCACTCGGGGTATAGAAACAGAATCACTTACATGTATTTACATACATGCACCACACGACAGATCATTGCAATAAACGCGACTTACACAGTTGCGAAAATGAAGAGTGAAAAAGTTATCAAGCTAATGTGGAGAAGGTCAATTTGTGATTGTGGGATATACTTCTAGATGGGAAAGACAAGACAATAGACATATGGAATATTTATTTCAAACATTGCAGCTCAAACATATGATATTTTATGTATCCACTTGCATGTATTTGCTAAATACTAATAAAAGATAATTTCATTGTTTCCTTCTTTCCAGGAACAAGACAAGGTCAATGCCCTCGACTGAACCCTACTCCAGGCTGTGGTGGTAATATAACTGGCTGTGGTGCTGATGAAAGATGCTCTCTTGGCAGCAGATGTTGTCTACAGAGTGATTGTACTCGAAAATGTGTTGAAGTTGGGATTGGTCCTGCTGCAAGTGAGTCCTCTGCAAAAAGAATTTGAATGCTATTATGACTTTTGAATTATTGTTTTCTTCATTATAGGTGGATTATTTCTGTAAATGCCATTTCTTGTACCTACCCAAGTGAAAAAGGCTGCTTTTGCTTGACGAGTTAAATTATTTTTTCTGATTCCATAGTTACGACAGGTAAAGAAGAGAAGCAATGTCCATTTTTAAACCCAACTCCATCCTGTGCTACGAGGAATGGAACTTGCTTCACTGGGGATGTAACATGTCCGCCAGGCTCAATGTGCTGCCTTGACAACACCTGTGAACACAAATGTACACTGCCAGCTCTTCCCGATGGTAAGAATGTGTTGATAAAGCAGCATTGTTATTTTAACGAGTTGTAGCTAGCGTAGCGTAGCTTGAATGAGTTATAGCAGTTGGCTAGGGAAGAAATAATGGATCTTTTCGGCGATNGTTTAACATGTGATCCACCGTGCCATCGTTATGGAAAGTGTGTGAAGAATCAGAAGACTGGTGTAAATGAATGTTCATGCAACAGGATATGTACAAGAGAATATGCTCCTGTGTGCGGCACCGATGGCAAAACATACAGCAACGAGTGCATGAGGATGTTGTTGGTGTGCAAAAAGGGAACTAATGTAGGGTTGAAGCATCCTGGCAAATGCAAAGAAGGTCAGTGTTGTTTTTTAATAACTTTTTTCTTATTTATTTATTGCCACACACAAATAATATTTACAATACATATACGTAAATTAATTACAATTCTAAAACAACTACTTACTCTGCTTACAGTACTACATTTACTTACACTACATTACAATTCTTGTCTAATGCCTATCTACATATTACCTAAAAGTTACATTACAGTCAATACAGTTCTAAAAACATAGTATAATCACACTTATAAACAGATTGCAAATTAAGGTACAGAGCCCCTTGCACAAATCCCACTTCTTATTTAATTTCTCCATGTTATTAGTATTAACACATATAAATTTTTCTGTTTCGTACTTAACTTTTGCCTTTAGTTTAAAGGCGTTTATAATACTCGCGCAGAGTGATTTGTCATCTTCCCAGACCTTAGTGTCCCACCTCCAATAAGGTAGAATCCTTGGTAAGATCCCCCTTGGGGTATTGCTTAATACCTGGGCTGGCTCTCGCATGGAATCCTGGGTCTAAATCTTGCGATCGTTTGACCGTGATGGAGGTAGTTTTTATCAAGAATTTCGTACGTGATTCACCTTTTTGGCAAAACTGAGTGGTCGTCAACTTCAGCCATTGGCCAAGTCTTGACGAATCTAAACAATAACGAAACAATAGCAATAAAAGGCTTATTCAGGATTGAAATGAGTAGATATGACAGGAAAAGAATGACATAAAAGAATAAGACAAAGCAATGACTATTGATAAGCGACAACAAAAGTTAAACAAATAGACACCCTGAAAGGAAGCTAGTGAGGTTAGCCCTATGTACCTTGAAATTACAAACACGAATGAACGGACAGAGAAGCGACAGCAGTATAATAACTAGATTGTAAAAATAATATACAGGCGTTTGCTAAATTAAAATTATTTTTGTTGTCGTCTTTACCAGTTTTCTGGTAGGTTGTGTTTCATGATGTCAATGATTGTACCATTTTTTTTTTCTCTAGACCCACCTGAAGATAGTTGCCCAAGGTTGGACCCCATGCCGATGTGCTTTCCTACCATTAAAAATTATTGCACTGACGACTCGCAGTGTGCCGATGGAGAGAAATGCTGCTTACGTAGAGACTGTAGCAAGAGATGCTATACACTGGCCAAGGCAGGAAAATGCCCTAAAACTGACCCTAAACCCTGCCCTGCAATTGTACGACCTTCCGAATGTACTACAGACTGGGACTGTACTGGAGAACAGAAGTGCTGTTCTGATGGTTGCATCAAAAAATGCACATCCTCTTTTCTAGCACCATTGGAAGGTATGGTGTGGCTTTACAAATTGCAAATTCAAGTTACTTGTTAATTTGGCCCAGGAACACTCGCATACACAAGAATAGCTTCCAAAAATGAACAAATTCATCTAGTTCATACATGTGATTTGCATTTCATAACAAAAATCAAATTACGACTTTCTAACCCTTTCCAATCAGACCTTACTGCTGATACTTTCTCCCAAACTGCACCATTTCTAAACTTTCCGTAATGAATAGAGTGGTTTTCAATTTCGCGCTTACCACTGGTTATAATTCTCGCTAATGTTTTAATTTTGCATATCAACCTCAGACAACCCGTGTGTAAATACCTTGTGCAGCTACCCCCACCCCGTGTGTAAGGTCGTGAATGGAAATGCTACATGCCAGTGTCGACAGAACTGTGTTGCTCTGTACGATCCGGTGTGTGCGTCAGACGGACACACGTATGACAACATGTGTGCGTTGGAGACGACCGCGTGCATGTTGGAAGCTGATGGTATGCCTGCAGGAAAACTAACCTACCTTGGAAATGGAAAATGTACAGGTAGATTGTAATATGATATGATGTTTGGAAAATCAACAAAGCTATGATAGGAAGACGTAAATAAGGCTTTCCTGGCTCAAATAGTCTTTATTCTACTTTTCAACAAAACTAAAATAAGGAAACAAAACACAGCAACTGGCATGGTGAACGTAGAGCTGTCGATATTTCTATGTAATTCTGTAGCCTGGAGCATATTATGCTGCTGTTACTGTGTAACGAATGAATACGTCAAACACATCGTTTTGGTAGATGAAATGATATCAAATGTTTCAGCTCTTGACGATTTACATTGTAAATACAGCAACGTTTTTATTCTCCCCATAGTTGCACAGATCTGCAGTCTACCAGTGGAAAAAGGCCGCTGTCGCGCTTCCATGAGGCGATTCTTTTTCAACTCCACCTCTCGGCAGTGTGAGGAGTTCCGATTTGGTGGATGCGAAGGAAATGCCAACAGATTTGACACGGAGAAGGAATGTAACGACTTCTGTGGATGTGAGTTGTCTTGAACTAAGCCTCCCAGGTCATCACCGCATTTCAATTCTCAATTGGTTATCCATGCTGTGATTAAACAATAACCATGCGCAGCTTTTTGGAGCATCATTCATTTTCTATCTTCAGACGCACGAGACTCGACCCAAAGTATTCCATTATTCCATTGGCTAAATAGCTATGTTATATCAGAGTATAAAACGCAGAAACGAGTGTTACTGTGTACGTTGTTTCACGTGGTTAAAGGCTACAAAGGCCACAAACACAGGACAAGGGTTAAGGTCACAAACTAGTAGGCCTAAGCCACGTATTATACTCTGAAAACATCCCGGGAATTTGAAAGCACTTGAGAAAAGTAGGTAAAACACTCGCCTGCAGCCCGGTTTCTTTCAATTTCTCTAATTGCATGAACTGTAACAGATTTCTCATGTTATACGACTATCCCGAAGCTTCCTATTTCTGTAAGCAATGTTATTTTCAGACTATATGTACCCTATTCAAACAATTAAAACGTTCTGAACTCTGGTTGAAAACTTAGATTTACAGTAAGCTTTTGGTTGCCTATCTACAGCCTTTGTCGAACGATCAAAAAGACGCGAATGAATTAATACATAAGTAAAAAGTGTGAAAAAACACAGAATAAAAATGCATATTTAATATATGTACATCACGGGTGCCAGGGGTGGTGTAACAACAGTGATACATTCACCTCCTCTCCACCCTGCTGCTTATCAGTTCTGTTAAGCTTATTTTCGCATGTATGGAATTTTCAGCCCTGGATACTTGTCAGCTAAATCCTTGCCCAGATCCTTATGCCATCTGTAGCATCTCTGATGATGGAGAGCGAGAGTGTACCTGTCCGGAGATTTGTACTGCTGACTATAGCCCTGTGTGTGGAACGGACGGACAGACATACAGCAATTTGTGTATGATGAAGGTTTCAGCTTGCAAGCAAGGCATGATGATCAAGGTTAAGTCGCCTGGAAAGTGTAAGAGTAAGTGAGCTTTTAATTTTTTACTTGGCTTTTCTCCTGAAAGTCCATAGCATTTCATGAATGTTCGCGCTCTTTAGGATTTTACTCACAAACTCAGAACCAAATTGATCAGCGCGATAACCGGTCAGCATGAAAGTACTGCTCTATAGATTTAATTTGAATGGTTGCACACTAAGGTTTGTTCTGATATTTAGAACCAGCTCATGCAGTGCGATAACAGCTCCACATGAAAGTACTGCTCTATAGCTTGAATTTGAATTGCCACACACTAGGGTCTCATCCACAGACTTAAAAAGTAAGACCCATTTTGTGCAGCGTATAAATCAGTACCACATGAAAATACTGCTCGATAGCTTGAATTTGATTGGTCACAAACTCAAAGGAGCTCAGTCACGGTGTTTTGTCTGTTTTTTTGGCCACGTACAAAATCTCCTTTAAATGGAAGGAAACCTGAAAATAATAGTTTATTAAGATAGGAAAACATCAAAGAGATAATAATAAACCATAAAGGAACAAGGATGGTCAAGGATGGCGAAGATTGACACGGATTGCAAACGACGAATTTGAAAAATTGAGGCTAAACTTTTCAAAATGTGCAAACCGTGACTGAGCTCCTTTAAGAGGTAGCGCCTCCTAGTACATTAGTAACATTATCATAAACAGTAGTACCACATGAAAGTACTGCTCGGTAGTTTTAATTTCATTGGTCACATACTAAGGTTTCATCCAGAGACRAATGTAAACAATACCACATGTWGCKTAGCTCAGTTAACCCTCACGAACTAGGGTTTCATTCCAAGACGTATAACTAGAACCCAACACCACCCGGTAGGGTACTCACCTAAAACGGCCAGTCCAAACACCTTATATAAAACATCCACACGCCGTGGGTAATTACCTTCTAACGTAGCATGCAATTGTAGCCCAAAGCAGTGCACAACCGGTGATCACTGTTTTCATTGCAGACAATCCAGGTTTCTGTCCTATTGTGGACCCTCAGGTATGCTCCAGTGGTTTGGACGACAGCTGCTTTGATGATGCCAGCTGTGATGTCAGTGAGAAATGTTGCCATGATGGCTGTAGAAAACTCTGTGTGAAGTCCCTGCCAAAACCCAATGCTGGTGGACCGCCCAAGGCCATGTCACGTGAGTAATATTACGCCCCGTTAGGAAACAGACGCACACATAGTTACAAGTTGAAAATACGTTCAGATTACAGTGGGTAGCCAAGCGTACTCGCAGGTTTATACGCATGCTCGTTGCAGAAGAAAGAAAGACTTGCGATCAACTTGCGCTGATTTCCGTTGGGTTACCATACATAGTAACTCGCACGGAAGTCCTTGTCCGAAATCTTTCCAACCGACTTAACAAATTTCTATATAACAAGATTTGACCTTTCGACCCCCAGGGTTATGCAGGCGGTAGCTTTGTTCTCCCTGCAGGACTTTCTTTACCTTTTGCTCTGCTCGTAGCCTGCGTAGCAAGCGTTTCCGTGGGGTTGGAGAGCAAAGAAAGACCGGTTAACGGGATTTTCGGTGTTTTGCTCGGGCAAAAATGGGGCGAGAGCCAAAAAAAGAAAGAGGGGGTGGGCAATTCTTTGCTCCCGAACCCCACGGAAACGCTCGCTACGCAGGCTACTCTGCGCGGTGAGGGCCCTGACGAAAGTGACAGCTTGGTCCTCACGGTTGAGGGTTTTTCGTGAAGCCAGCATCCCCACCCACGTAAAAAAAATGAACCATGCTACTTAAACACCAAGGATCAATCAACAAGCAGTTTGCAGGTCGTGGAAGAAGAAGAGCCTTCATCGCGAAGGCGTATGACGATATGACGAGATAGTCTAGAACTTGTTCGTGAAGTAGCGACTGACTGAGCGTTACCCTGAGTTTGGTCCTCTTGAATGCGCCATTGTGAAGACTCGCCTGTCAGTTAGCTATTGCTTCGAGATTTCCTTCAAGTTTAAGTGTAACTACATGCAACATACAAAAACGACTTGGTTGATGTCAAGATGAATATCCTTTCTTCGCAGGAATGAAGCTGCTTCCGCCTCCTCCCAAAGACTCTTGTGAAAAATGCAAGTTTCCCATGAGCGCCTGCGCGGTAAATGAGAACGGCGAAACTGAATGTCACTGTCCAGAGGGATGCACGGCTGATTTTGATCCAGTCTGTGGCTCTGATAGCCGTAACTACAGCAACAAATGCCAGTTAGAGATAGAAGCCTGTAAACCAGAGAACCTGAATACTTTGAGGCTTCAGCATGTTGGGCCATGTGGTAAGAACGCATGTGAACACCACTTTCCCTCCTAACAGTTGACTCGCTCTGTCTAGCGATAGTTTGCTCTCTATATCATCTTTTGTGTGTGTTGGTGGGGTGGGGTAGGGGGGCTGAACTCAGGTTGAAGCCCTGGCCGGGTCTCCTCCCAAGTACTATGGATGGGTACTGGAGAATTCTCGGGACAACTTGACAGAATAATGGAGATAACCCTTAATGGACTAGAAATTGTACAAAAATATTAACGCAAATATTCTCACCAGCATTCTTAAGAACTGTGTAGATACTCTTAAACTAGGATCCGTAGCTGGGCATTAAAATTTTATTGTCGTCACATGCCCTATCAACTGATTGAAATTATGGAAGAATTCGTCGAAAAACGGGTGCACAGTTGTAGGACACGAAATTCCCCTCCCCCTTAAGAACACAGATCAAAAACCAAGCTAAACTAACATCCTGAAAAAATCATCATGTACGTTTTGCGTGCGAACATGACAGTGTTTTGGAGAGACAACTTTACACGTTCTGATGTTTCCCTCGATAAAGTAATACTTACAATTATCAGCAGCTCATCTTCCAAATGCTGTCCAGCAACAGTAGGTTATTAATTACCGTTTCTGGTGCCAAACATTTATTGGCATTAAACAGATAACAAGGAGTTTCTACTAGTTGTCAAAATGCCATTATTTCTGCCGACGTGTTTTTTATATTCTTTTTTTTTAGTTTGTAACCTTCCATCCGAAGGAGGACCTTGCTTCGGTTATTTTTCACATTACTTCTTCAATGCCACATCGAAGAAGTGTGAAGAGTTTATTTATGGAGGCTGCCAGGGAAATGGAAATAATTTCAAAACCATCGAGAGCTGCGAGAATAAGTGTATCAGTAAGTGAAGAGCAGTGTTTAGTAAAATGTGCAACGCAATGGAATGGTTTCTATCACTGTCATAAAGCTGGCCAATCACAGAAAACGCAAGTAATGTAACAAACCAATCACAGCAAAAGGGAATAATGCCATGAACCAATCACAGCGCGAAGTAAAACCCTGGGGGGACTCCCATATAAAAAGGAAGCGCTTGCTCGTCGGAAATTTTGAAAAGAACCCCTTATAGGTACCAAGATCCTGTTTTGTGGGTGTGGCTTGAATTTTTTTTTTTTAACCCCTACGAGGTACCAATTCTGAGAGAAATTAAAAATCAGTTGATTTTCAAATATCTCCTGTCATCTTATTTCGGCTGAACACCCTAAAAGGTACCGCAAAAGCTCCCGCTTGGACCTTTTGAGGCTGAACACACTGAGAGGTACAAAAACCGCTTTTTAACCCCTAAAAGGTACGACTTGTACCCCGGTCCTTTTTATATGGGAGTTCCCCCCCCCNCCCCCCCCCCCTCCCCAGGGTTAAAACATGCGACCGATGGAAAGCGCGGGAAAATCAGCGTAACTGTAAGTTAAGTCATGTCCCTCATTGTTCAGAGAAGCATGCTTGCTTTGGAGCGCAACTACAATGGCACTGTGGTCATTATGATTGAGTAGCTATTTATCCTGTGTTGTCTGTAGGCCAGGGATGTATTAATGTTTTTACAGAATTTGCAGTTAGTGATTATTTTGTTTATTCCATAACACAGGCCCATGCAAGAACTACAAATGTCCGTTTCCTCACACAAGGTGTGAAGTAGAAGATGGTTTACCTGTCTGCAAGTGCCCCACCACCTGCACTGCAGATTACCGCCCAGTGTGCGGAACAGATGGCAAAACATACGGTAACATGTGCGGTCTGGAGGCAGCCGCTTGCCTAACGAAGCATTTTGAACTGAAGGTGAATCACCTTGGAGAATGTAAGTGCATGGTAACTTTGCCTAGAAAATTAAATCATTTCTTTTCAGCACTTAAACAGTTCTTTACACGAGATCTGTCACAGACACCATTAAGAAACCATTAATACAACCAAGGTCATCATGTTTAAAAATGAAAAGACCTCAACCTTTTCCCCTCTAGTTGAATTTGTTTGACAGGGTTTAGGGTCAAGTGCCGTTGTGTGGGCAGTTCCTGTTGTAACGTACCATCTCCTTCCTTGGCAATGTTGTGTAGACTGGCAACAAGTAGACTGATGGAAATACGGCGTATAAATAAAGTTATCGTATCGTGTTACGGGTTGTTGTTGTTGTTGTATGGCTGCAGTCATCTTTGTTGCCAGGTTTTTGTTTTTGTCAACATACTTGGTCTCTAAATATAATTACCACGCTGATTTTGTGATATTGAAGGTCAAGTAACAGAGGCCGGCTTTTGTATACCAGAAAATGCGGGTACTTTGTTGTATTCTTATCATGGATAGTTGGTACATAAACAGGATCGCAGTACTGCCCTACGATTTGTGACCATTCTCTATTTTCCAATTCCCCAGGATTCACTCTGTTTGACCCCCCCCCCCNAGCTCCTGCTGTGGACCTTTTTAGGCTGAACACCCTCAAATGCATTTTTTAACCCCTAAAAGGCAGGACAAGCACCCTAATCCTTTTTATAAGGAAGGTTCCCCCCCCCCAAAAAAAAAAAAAATTAGCAGAAGCTGTCGTTCTGAAATGCTCCTAGGAATATGCAGGCTTCACAACAATAGTTTATGCAAAATTTGGGGGGGGGGAGGACAGAGTGAATTATGGGGAATCGGAAAATAGAGAATTATAGTCTGAAATAGGGTATGTTTTGCCATGTGGCCTGGAATTGGAAGAAACTGTTCTTTTTCCATTAACATTAAGACCCTGTCAAATGTGTGACGTAAATTGGAAATCATTCCTACTAATTTGAGAGGAATGAAATCATATATAAATTTTTGCGTCACGTCTGAAATAGAGTATCGAAAAACATATATTTCGGTCTGAAAAAGGGTAAGTGTTCCTCGAAGCAGACTGTACAGGCCCATCCAACCTTTCGGGGAGTAAACACCCTATGCCCTCCTCCCAACCCCCCTCCGTTCTAGAGGACGTTGATGGTTTTAGTTTAAAGCATATAGTATATCTTTGGATCTTTGATCCCTACCATCTATTTGTGTCATCGTTAGGTTTAACTCCAAACCCATGTAATGAGGTTACCTGCAGCCACAAGCGTCAAACATGTGTGGTAAAGGACAACAAGGCTGTTTGCAAGTGCGATAAAATATGCACGAGAGAGTATGACCCTCAGTGTGCCTCAGATGGAGTTACTTACTCTAACAAATGCGTTATGGAAGTGGCCGAATGTGAAAGTGGAAAAGCTTTGAAAATATTACATCCTGGAGAATGCACAGGTAATGCCTATGATTATGTTCTTTGACTGATTTTGTTTGGTGAGCGGGTCCGTGTTGAAGTCCCGCCCAGTGTCTCTCTCAATCCAGCTGTATAAACGGGTACTGGGGTAACTGGGGAGTTGTTAGGGCATCCAGACAAAGACAATTCGCAGACAACGCCATTAAGCTTCAACATTTTAAACTGTTGTTGAACTTTAACATCTCTTTCATGTGTAAATATTCAAGTTTTTCCAGTTTCCATTCCTGGCTTATTTTAAATATTATAATAATCATGTAATTATCCCTAGTATTCACTGTAGTCCAGATGGTGGTTGTATTTGAGCGTCGTGAAATCAAAACCAAAGCATTACATTTGTCAATTACGGTCACCATAAACAACAAAATTTACCAAACACAACTCCAAACAAACCCACGTGACAGCGCCAAGAGCGGGAAAACTTGCGTGACCAGTCATGAGTGGTCTTGTTTTTTCATCTGATTGGTTAAATAGGTAGGGTGAGTTTTTTAAACCAATCGTGGAACAACAAAGCCAGAGCAATTCCGGATTTCTTAAAACACTTAATTTAAAACTGCTTTAAGTCCATAATCCAGGTATGACCGTACCAGCTCCTATTTAACAATAAGACCCTTCGCCCTCAAGGGCCACGGGTCAATAGCTCATTCGG